TACAACAGTTCAAAATGGAGAAAGGTTTAAAGCATATTTTGAAAAGGTTAATTATCTAGGGTAGAATAAGAAATTCAGGTAATAGTAACTGGGCAATATAGGACAAAGACAAGTTTGTGCAGAACTAAGAAAATCTTCCTAAAGAAGCATATAGCCTTTTAGCCTTAAACTCTAATTAAACACCCCATAGACTGAAAGACACAATAGAAACAGTACTTAGGAAAACAAATCACTCTGAACAGGGATAAAGTGGACTTAAGTGATTTCATAGGTGTTTTCCAGCTCTAAATGTTGTTTTCTTCTTCAGATTCTACTCCTAGCCAGCTTAACTCATTGTCTAAAGTTAGTGGTATTAAGTCATTACTGCTTGCATGTGATGAAAAGTTGCTATAATCTCCCAGTGAGTCACCGCTAAGACAGAAGAACATGCTGAAGGTTGCTTGATTTGGTAAAAGGTATTTTCAACCATGCAATATGTTTCACCTTATTTAACACCACCACAATGTGTCTCTGGAAAAAATCCTCATAAAAGCTTGTGTTTCAGAAATGCTTGCCTTTGATTTCTTATACTCCTTATTGTGTTGTGTGTGGGAAAACCCAGCACAGCAAGCTTGGAGACAAGCACTGTGAAGTGGCACTCTTCTGTGTAAGAAAGAATTGGCCAGGTACTACCACATATCCTTTTTTATAACATTAATCTTTTATATTTTAGAAAATACTGAGTTGGGAGTGTAACTTGGCATGGAGAATTATTTTCTCATGGTGGCAGGCCAAATTCTGTTTGTTTTTGTTAGTATGACTCCCTTACATTAAGTTATTTTTGATTACTGCTGGTATATACATGAGCCTGCAAAGTAGCCCAATATTTAGAGAAGACCAAGTAACTTTTCCAAGAGTGAAACAGTAGCAGAAATTGACAAATACTAAAGTTTCAATAGTTCTAAGCTGCAAGTATAAAGTGGGATATATATACTGTTCACCATTCCCTCCACAGAGTTGGAGACAGGATTTGGAATGGCAAATGTAACAAAGTAAAGGTAAAGGAGTACAGGGTCTTCAGTTAGACCAATGCCATGACATATGACTGTAAAGAATACAAAATGCCAATTCCTCTGCTGAAAGGAAGATTGTAACATTGCTTCAACAGTTTAGGGAGTGGAAAGTATTTATTCTTATCCATCCACCCTTACAGGCTAGACACTGTGGTAATACAATGAAGTGAGGGGGAGGGTAACAAGTGACCATGTTTTTACCAAATCTGAAAGAATACCAGTTGCATACAGGGGACAGATTTGAATATAAGCACAGAAGAAAATTCTTAACAGCGCTTTGGTAGCTAATGCTAAACCACAAGAGGTGAATTTTCTTTATAGTCAGTGGATGACATGAATTTCCTGTGCAAAACCCACCATAACATAGAAATAAAAAAATGCCACAGGAACACTACAGCCACTATAAAATATAAAAATGATCACATGAGAGAGATATAAAGGAACCATGTTCTGGCTTGAGGACAGCATGATGCATATTTCCCAATCCCATTACAGAGTGTAGTCTCTCCAGTAAGGATGTTTCCTCTCCAAATGCAGTGAAGTCTTAGATAGTATTTGTACATTTAAAATGTTTAAATTCTCAGTCAAGTAATTTCTCATTGTAAGGGCTGCAGGATAAAGAGTGACTTTAACTATCATGCTACAGGACCCCAAAGTCAGTAAAATAAGGTTATAGGCAGCATGTTGCTGAATCCTGTGTAGGGCACAGGATGCTGCTTCTCTGCCTTAGGGACATCTTTAGAGCAGAGATCCACCAGCTGCTTTTCAGTTGCTCCAGTACTGAAAGAAGGTCATCAGTGGTAGTGGATACTCTATACCTCATACTGCTCACACTGAGTGACTCGGTGGTTAAATTGTATGCCTGCTCCAAAGGAGCTGACAGACACCTTCCTCTAAACACAGCCTTGTCCACTCACCTGGCAATTCATATGACAGAGACTAGGTCAGTCCCATGGCATTTCTGGACTGTTATTTATGATGCAAGTAGTTCCTCTGCATCTAAGAAGACAATCTATGTGTCTTCACATAGGTTTAGCATATTAGCCTAATTAGTAGTTTGCTGAAATAAAAATAAGCTAAACACTTTTAAGAGGGATTTCAATATTAGGACCTGTACAGCACAAAAATAGATTTATTGTTCTGTAGTTAGCAATTACAGTCATACTTACATTATAGATACTAACATATTGAGAGCTATTAACCAGCCCCTACAGTCTGGATTTCAGGAATAAAAACTCCTCAAATGATTTAATAAAGCACAAAGAAAATGAAGTTTCCTATTCACTGAATTACAACAACTCCAGTTCTTTCAATAAAGTGGAAACTGGTTCCTATTAGAGCCTGAAAAGTGCTGGAGGCAACAAGTGTAAATCATCTTTAAAAAGGGTAGAAAGGAGAACCCTGGGAACTACCAATCTGTCAGCCTCACCTCTGTGTCTGGGAAGACCATAGAACAGATCCTCCTGGAAGCTATGCTAAGGCACATGGAGGGCAGGGAGGTGATTTGAGACAGCAAGCACAGCTTCACCAAGGGCAAGTCCTGCCTGATGAACCTATTGGCCTTCTGCGATACAGTGACTACATCAGTGGAGAAGGGAAGGACTACAGGTGTCATTTATCTGGACTTCTGTAAAGCCTTTGACGTCGTCTCCCAAAAAATCCTTCTCTCTAGATTAGAGTGAGATGGATTTGATGGGTGGACTGTTAGATGGATAAGAATGTGGTTGGATGGTTGCATCCAGAGGATAGTGGTCAACAGCTCAGAGTCCCGATAGACATCAGTCACAAAGTGGTGTCCCTCCAAAGTCCTTACTGGGACCAGTGTTATTTCATATCTTCATTACTGACATAGACAGTGGGATCGAGTGCACTCTCAGCAATTTTGCAGATGACAACAAGCTGAGTGGTGCAGCTGACACACCTGAAGGTCGGGATACTATCCAGAGGGACCTGGACAAGCTCGAGATGTGAGCCCATGGGAACATCATGCAGTTTAAAAATAACAAGTGCAAGGTGCCGCACCTGGGTCAAGGCAGTCCCCAGTATCAATGCAGTCCGGGGGATGAACAGATCAAGAGCAGCACTGTAGAGAAGGACTTGGAGGTGCTGGTGGATGAGAGACTGGATGTGAGCTGGCAATGTGGGCTTGGAACTCAGAAAGCCAGCAGTGTCCTGGGCTGCATCAAAGCAGCATGACCAGCAGGTCAAGAGAGGTGATTCTGTCCCTTTAGTCTGCTCTGATGAGACCCCACCTGAAGTGTCGCATCCAGCTCTGGGATCCCCAGCACAGGAAGGACACTGACCTATTGTGCGAGTCCAGAGGAGAGTCATCAAGTTGATTAGAGGGATGGTGCACCTGTCTTATGAAGAAAGGCTGAGAGAATTGGGATTAATTGGGTATTATTCAGCCTGCAAAATAAAAGGCTTAGGGGTGACCTAACTGTAGCTTTCCAATACCTGAAGGGAGCCTACAAGAAAGATGGAGAGAGACTATTTACAAAAACATGGAGTGATAGAACAAGAGGGAAAAAGAGAGTAGGTTTGGATGTTAGAAGGAAGTTCTTTGCTGTGAGGGTGATGAGGCACTGGCAAAAGTTGCCCAGAGAAGTTGATGGATGCCCCATCTCTGGAAGTGTTCAAGGCCAGGAAGGATGGAGCTCTGAGCAATCTGGTCTAGTGAAAGGTTCCATGGGAACTAGATGATCTTTAAGGTCCCTTCCAACCCAAACCATTTGATATTTCTATGATCAAAAAGATTATTGGAGAGAGAGAGAAAGAGAAGCGGCCATCATGCTGATGCTCAGAAGTACTAAATCAGAACCAACTACCAGGGAAATTTTCAATAACTTTACAGCAAAAACCAAACTCCACCTTGATTTTATAGCATCTTCAAATATGAGTCTTTGAACACTGTGATCTCAGGGTAAATCTTCCCAAAGAGCCTTCTACAGAATACAGAGAATAGTGGACATGCACATCTCTGACGCTGTCAAGGGAAGAGTTCAACCACAGTGGTTGGGTACAGCTCGGGTTCAGTGACCACTGTTCATTATGTTGAGCTCTCCAGCTATTTTGACAATTATACCTGCGAACACGCTCACTCAGTCATGCCTAGGTATCTGCACTTTTGCGCATACAGACCAGGACTTGACATTCTAATTCTTACAAGTTGGGCGTTTTTTAAATGCAGACACAAAATGGAAACAAATTCAAGCACTAGGTGAGATAAATTACAAGCAACCTAGGGGATGCCTGCCTAAGGCATCAGTTAGAAATTGAGTCCCAAGTGTATGATAAACCTTACTTTGTATAAAATCAGTTTTTAGTAAGATTTCTACAGGGATATATTTCGCCTTCTCATCTGAGTTTTGGTCCAAAACAAATAACCAGAGCCTTCACATAGCACAGACACAACTAAGCATTTTTAGTTCACAGAATTGAAAACACGATTACAAGCTTTTAGTATTAAAAGCAGAAAACCATGCTTAGTCTCAACACTGGAACACCACTAACACATATTATCCATGCAGCAGATTCACAAGCAAGTCACAGTATTCACAAAATACTGAAGTACAAATAATTTAACATTTAGTTGCTACTGTCAGTAATGCTTTTAAGTAATTAATATTCCATCAAATGTGAACAATGCTCCTAGATATAGTACCATACACTATACTGCAAAGCATACTTCCATGTGACTACAGTATTAATCAATGGGTAAGTTTGGTAAGATTTGCCCTTTGGCAGGTTGGTTGAGACAATCGTAGAAGCAAAAGCCTGCAACTGATGAAAGTTAAACCCATATAAAGGTGTGGAAAGCAGTCATCATCAAAATTGTTTATTTAAAATCATACCTGTTATAAGTTCAGGTAATGATTTAAATAACATATAATGTAATGAGAAAAACAAGACTCCAGGAACACCTGTGAACTGATGGTTTATATTTACCTTTGGTATTCCGGAAGTGTCAAGCCAGTTCTGGAAGATACTTTCTACAGTTAACCCAGAGCTTTAAAAAAAAAAAACATTGAAAGAGAAATTAGAAGAGACACAGAAAAATACCAACGTTTTTCTATATGAAAAATAACCCATTTGAAGCTGAGCAAACCCCCTAATTCCAAGTACTGGTTGCACTGCAGTGGTACTACATTCTTTGTTTTTTTAATGAATCAGAGGTCACATGAGCAAATTAAAGGTAGATCAGGTTTTGTGTGCTTAAAACTAAATGATGAATTCAGTGCTTACAAAGATTGACAAAGAAAGCGTTAGGTGGTAAACTGTATTTATGAAACATGTAAAGTATGAACAGGTGCTCTACTTCTTGTTGAGCGAATTTCTGTTCCTTTGACAGGAAAAAAGATCTCAGGCAGCAAATTTATACTGAAACATTCAAAACCAGTATTTTATTACAGAAGCAGGCCAAATGTAAGATAAAATACTAAATAAAATGAAATTAAATACAAACCTCCTTAAATTTTTGGGTTTTAAAAGGCACTGATGGATACTAATTCACAAACTTAGCAAGTGTCCAATATATTTTAGTTTTGCCTTTTTCAAAATAAAGTCACAGAATAGTCTGGAGCTCCAAAGAAAGGAAATAGCTTGTCATGATCAAGCTGCGTAGGACTGAAATCACCACATGCATAAGAATTTGCAAATTCAGAAATTATATTTCCCCTTTTAGCTTTGTAACTGATTTATCTTGCATTTACTTCAACTTTGGTTGAAGCCTTCCCAGCTTGCAGGGGAAGACAAAAAAGAGAAACCACACTATCCACGCAGTATGCCATATGCTGGTACTGAAAAAAAGAACTTGAGTAAGCCCTCAATGAATGTAAATATTCTGAGAAGCAGAACAGATGTGTATGGTCCTGTGCACGGTAATGCCTTGGCAAGGCTCATTCTAATACTTGCAGCTAATTTCACATGTGTAATGTAGACTCACAGCCAAAAATGCATTCAGGAAAGGAACAGCCATTTCAAAACTCTGAATCAGGAAGGCAAGCAACCTAATACAAATTGTTCTCTGACCACATGATCACAAATAATTCCAGCAGTCAAGCAGAAGTGTCTCTGCATGACCAGGATTCTGAATTTTCAGGAAATTACCATTGCGCATGTTTGCTCACTACAGGAATCAATTTTCTACAGAAAACTGAACGTACACATGATGCTCATGTAGTGTTCTACATTCAAATAAATTACTAAACATGCAGATTTGTTCCTTGTATTTGTGCAAACTTATTAAATATAGAACACTTGACTGCTATATCCTTCAGACTATAATTACCTTCACTTTACTGCAATGCTCTAAAAATTGGTGTCTAGTCTTAAGTTAGCTAGCTAAGTCCCTTCCACAGGGAATAAAGAAAGAGGGAAGCATTTCAAAACAGTCAATTTCCTTTCCTCAAAACACAGTGATGTTCTTCAGTTCTCGTATCTGTCTGGTTACTAAAAGGACTGTATACCAGACCAGCTTAAAACTGAACACCGAAATTTTATATAGTCAAAGGTGGATCAGGCGGACTGTCCAATTTATTCTGCCTCAAGCAGCATAAGCAGAGTAAAAAATTTTTTTATTTGTGTATGAATCAAATCCAATAGAGCTTAGTGTTCCAATGTTGAAGCAGAGCTGGAAGCTTGGGAAAAATACCCTTATTTGTGAATTTAATTTGTCTTACCAAAGGCTAAGAAACATAACCTCACAATGTCAGTTAGTCCTTTTCCTTCCCCTCCCACAGAAAATAAACTGAAATTGTGAGATTTCCTCATGCAAAAATAAATAAAGAAAGAAACATCTCTGCACAATAATCTATATTGCATTTGCTATGTAGAACCTTTCTTTAATATTCCCTCTATTTAATTTCAAAACCTGGCTGAGGGGAATTGCACTGTTCTGACACCACACAAATCCAGGCAGAAGCCACTAGCACGAAGTTGCTAGCCACTCCTAAAACTTAGTCCTTTTTTTCAAGGTCAAAGACAACAATGTTCCTATTTCTCTGTGTGCTGGTTTGAGCTGGAGTAGAGTTAACTTTCTTCACAGAAGCTAGTATGGGGCTATGTTTGGATTTTGTGCAGAACACAGAGTTGATAATGCAGAGATGTTTTTGTTATTGCTGAGCAGAGCTTACACAGAGTCAAGGCCTTTGCTGCTTTCCGTACTGCCACGCTGGCAAGGAAGTTGGGGGTGCATGGGAGACTGGGAGGAGACACAGCTGGGACGACAGGTGTCCCAAACTGACCAAAGGGATATTCCATACCATATGACATCATGCTCAGTATATAAGGTGGGAGGAAGAAGGAGGAAGGGGGGACATCTGGAGTGATGGTGTTTGTCTTCCCAAGGAACCGTTACGCGTGATGGGCCCTGCTCTCCTGGAGATGGCTAAACACCTCCTGTCTTTGGGAAGCAGTGAATTAATTCCTTGTTTTGCTATGCTTGTGTGTGCAGCTTTTGCTTTCTCTATTAAACTGTTTTTATCTCAACCCATGAGTTTTTGTAGCTTTTACCCTTCTGATTCACTCCCCCATCCCACTGGTGGGGGAGTGAGTGAGAGGCTGTGTGGTTCTTGGCTGCTGCCTGGGGTTAAACCACGACACTCTGTCTGCAGCACCCCCAGTTTCAGCTAAACACTTGTCATATGACCTTACATACTTGCACACACCTTTATTTATTCCAACTTAGGACATTCTTGGCACTCATAAAAAAAAAAGCAACTTATTTCAGCGGTTTAAAAGCATTCACGTTTTGTTTTTTTTCAAATGCATTAGTAATAAGCAGACTATTGCAAAGATCTACTCTGAATGTATTAAGAGTCAATACTGTGTGAAGACATTGAAAAGGCTCCCACTAACTTGTCTGACTTAAGACCAACTGGAAAAAATTGATCACAAGCAGATTGGTATTTCAAAACTAATGTCCCAGAGAAAGGACAAAGGGCCTGATATTTGTAGAGGCTGCAGTTCAGTAAGGGCACTTAGCAGTAAGGGAACTGCCTGTGTTGCAGTTAAGCATCTGTAAGGACTTAAATCTGAATTCCTGAATGGACTTCTGGTTAAGGTTCTGTATTGGACTGTGGGATCCGGGTTCAGTTGATTAGCACAGTAACAGAGCTCTTACAAGACCAAGGTTCTTCTGTAGATTTGTACTAAGGCTCTCTACTGCAAAATGAGAGTGTGATTACATCTATTGTCTCATCCCTTGACTATCTGTTTAGATGATAAGTCAATCAGCCTAGAAGTGATCTCCTAACATTCATACATACAGTTCACGGCCAGATTCAATGCTTCAGAGCAAGGTCTGTAAAATACTAATATTCATGAAAATTTGAACATTAGCATTATAAAAGATGTCTGTATACCAAGTTTTCACTGCACAAGGTCCCGAAGCACTCTAAAATCTTTAACATAAACCCACTTAATTCCTAAATCAAGAAGAAGCCATGAAGTATGTAATTTGTTTTATATGTAAACAAAGACAAGTCTGTCCTACCCAACTGAAAATAATTAAACAAGCATATTTGCTTCACCTGGATACACACATTCAGACACATAATTTTCAAAGTAAGCTACTTCAGCTAAATATCAAGGCATAGTTAGGGCAAATCAAAGAGTAGTGACTCATTAGTAATTCTGTCAAGTAGACATAGCTTCCTGCAGATAACTTTCCTTTGGGGTTTCTTTGGGTTTGAATGGGTTTTTTTATTTGGTTTTTGTTGGGTTTGCTTGTTTGGTTAGTTGGTTGGTTTTTAATCCAGCATACATATTTTGGCTTGCTAAAAGAAATGGAGGAATCAAGAACACTGGGAATAACTTTTCCCAGTGATTTGCTTTGGGACTCAGGTGTCTATCAGCTGTATGTCTCATTCAAAATCACCACATTCACAATGTGAGTGTGAATCAAAGAAAGCAAATATGAAAGAAAGATACATATACCTGTATAGCTGAGTACTTTGAAACTGCAGCATTATTTTAGTCCTTAGTTGACAATTTATGAAGACATCCAAGGAATGTGGTTAGTGAGCCTGGGTTATTAACAGTACAAATAGCAGAGCTGTAACACAAGCCTTCCTTTATCACGTATTATTAAAACTATAGCTTATTAGGGGACTTGTTTATTTTATTGAATGAAATGAAATATAAAACATAAGCAGAAAACCCCAAAGAGCAGAAATGACCTGCTAAAAATTTTTTTTGAAGTCATAAAGCAGCTGCACTAGCAGCAACTGGTTTATCTGAGACGAGTGAAACCCATCCTCTGTTACAAGGTCTTTAAAACAGCCCATGTGGAGGGCAGATGTGGAGAAGATCAACTTGTAAGCCTTGGGGAGAACAGAACTACCGGTTTTATCAAATCTAGTATACCGTGATATACAGACACATAAGAGGGGTTTTTGTTGCTGTTTGGTTTTTTAATGTAGTGAAGTTTAAAACTATATATGAGTAAATAAAATGCCTCAGTTACAGGTGGGAAGTACTGTAGATTTTCCACAGAAACGCCATGATAATATGGGACTATAGCCAGTGCATGTAATATTTTAAAAGACTTTGAAAACAGAAAAGGATAATGATTAATATTTGTTTGTTTTCCTTGCCATTAGCCCTTCACACAGATTAATGATCAGCCTTAAAAGACAGTGAAATTATAAAGGACCAGAAGGCACTGCTGAGCTTGTCTGATGTCAGTGTTCAGCTGCAGTCCAGAAACAGAAGGATCCTGCCTCATAGAATGGATTCCTTACAGTTAACATGCCATTATAATTGAGTCAGAGCAGGAAGTGAAGTAGCCCTATATACTAGACATAAACCCCTCCTCCTCTGAGCACAGAAGGCAGCAAAAATCAATGAATGCCACTTAAGGAGTAACATCTGTATCTCAGAACTACTCATCACTGGGAATGTATTAAAAATCGCCTTAAATAAAACAAAATGAATTAAGTAGAGGAGGGGAACTCAAAGAGGGAAGGGGATAGGACCAGGCTTGCTAAAGATGAGCCTGGGGGGGGCATGCCTATGATGGGGACAAAGTCAGTAGCCCAGCTGAAGTGCTTGTACACCAATGCATGTGGTATGGGCAGTGAACATGGGGAGCTGGAAGGCATG